CGCCTTGGGGGGCTGGGAGAATTATAATCCACACCGACGAACCAGCAGCAGTGGGGTGGGCCTTGGCCGGCGGCTCAGCCCGGCTCGGCAGAGGGGAGTACTTGCCAGAGTACTCCGCGACGACCAAGTTGGACGCGGAGCCACGACGACGACGGTCATTGGAGGCGGGGGCGAGCAGGAGGAAGAGAGTCTCAGCGGTCTCGGCGATGCGGAGAGAGAGAGAGAGAGAGAGAGTCTCTGTGCGAGTGCGCGACAGAGACAAGAAGAGACACCCCCTCCCCTCCGCGCACGCCCCGAGGATTACCGGCGACTCTACTACTGCCGGACCGAGGGGAGGGGGATATTAACCTTCCCCACTCACTCACTCCCCCCCCCCCCCCCCTCAACGATACTTAAAGTAAGATGCCCATCTTGCACTTTGCAATGTGAGACATCCTGCCTACTGTTTCAAATTTCGAGAAACAAAGGGCGAGGAGGTAAAGGCAAAATCGGGTGGGACATCTGCCTATGGTCCGATATGACGTCAAAGTGTGTGACAGACGGTAGACGGTGTGCTGCTGTTGCACTCCCTGTGGACGGCCATATAGGAGGGATCGTCATCGTCTAGATAGTGGGTGCGTCTGATTTTCTGGAGAGCTTGGCGCCTGCGAGGCTCGGGGTAGGCCAGCCCGCAGCACGCGCGTGCACTGCAGGTGAGATGTTGCCTACCCGCCAGGCGCCATGAGACCCTGCAGAGAGGCCGAAGCCGAACGGGCCCGCGTCGACTGATCGGAGGCTGCAGGAGTAGAGAACGCCAATTCGGAGGCGCCGCGTTGTTGGACAGAGTTTGTTTTGCGCCAAGGGCTTCAAAGTGACTTAACGCCGCCCCACCGGACTCTCCTCCGTCCTATATCCTCACCGCGAATCCTTCCTCCACCTCCTCCTCTTCCTGCTCTACATTCGATCATCCTGCAGTCAAGTTAGACGAGGAGAAACACGTTGCTCACTCAACTTCAGAACAAGATTATTTCGCAAAAAAAAATAATAAAAAAAAATGAGCAAAAATATAAAAAAAATCTCGGTTTTTGCCTTACGAGGCCACATTTGCTAGAAATTCGATCGATTGTTTAAATAAAAAGCAGGAGCGCCTCGAAAGTGAATAAGGGGAAGACAGATGGCCTGACACCCAACTAGTGGCAAGAAGAGCATTACGAGTCTCATTTTGCATACACAGCCTCCAAAGCGCATATTCTGCGTACACCAAACCCGACACACGACACGGCGACAACTAGCAGGGGTCCCCCACTGTATGGTATTTGCGATTGCAGTCGCTTTCCCCCTCCTGATCTCCCCCTCTGCCCCTGTCCCTCTAGTCCACCCCGACGTGTCAGCGTGTATGTATAAATGTCCGTAATAAATAATGGTATCGGGATGTCGAGGCGAGGCGGCCCTTCTACCCACTCGCCTGTCTGGCCGCACATTTGTCTTTCCTACCTCCCCCCTCCTCCCCCTCCCCAGTCCCACTGCTGCACACTTCCGTGAGCTCCCCC